TTAGGATTTGCATACAGAAAACAGAAACACCAAGTATATGAGTATTTTAACTTTTTCACACACTTAAGTAAGACAAAAGATTGTGATTTCTTGAGCTCTTTCTTGAAAGCACATGAAAGTCACAATGCTCATCAACAAGATGAACGAAATAATAACTTAGTGGGTAATGAATGTATACCAGATGACCGGTAGCAGCACTTGATGCTCATTGGAGAACTGGAACATCAAGTTTTCTGACCCATATGCTCTCACACAAGAAGTCTGAATGATAAAATGACTTTGTTTTTCTTTTACATGTGATCTAGCAAAAAAAAAAAAAAAAGTGCTTTCAGATGCCAAAATAACTTTTCTGGGTGTAAATAAGGTAGTATTAAGCCAGACTACATAAAAATTATTCAGAATTTCAATAACAGAAAAACCTGGAAAAATATGTAAATCAGGTTGGCGGGCATATGGTCAGAGATCAGAAGAATTCAGTGATTTAAGAACTGCGCTAGGATATTAAGAGATTTTCAAGGAGTGACAGAAATTATGTTATAGAAGTAACAAATGATTACATTTAAATTGCACAAATTCCTCTTTGATGTCTTTAGTTTAAAATTCACCATTGTCAGCAACCCAGTGATTTTATTTTTAGTCACGACTCAAGTTACTGTGGTAACCACATATCTTTTTACTATTTACAGCATTTATCAGAGCAAGTTAAAGATATATCACACATAATTTATTACTCTGCCCTCTTTATGAACTTTTCTAATTATATTTTTAATACTTATACACTTGGTATTTTATGAACTTTTCTAATATTTTTTAATGTTCTGCATGGACACAGTTTAATCTCCTTGGCACATGTAAATAATCATTTATTTCTGTTTTCCAGAAATAAAACATTATTTAAAATTAGGTGATAACAGGGTTCATAGCCACATTTTAGTTATTTATTAAAAGAGAATAAGCATTACTTCAACCATGGAAAATAATTACTTTTTTTTTTTTAATTTTAAATAACAGTTCAATTTACAGAAAGTAGACCACAGAACTTTTAGTCCTATACAATCCAGATTGGAAAGTGACAGGGGGGGGGAAAAATGTCCTTTGCTTGTTTTGCAGCGAACTGTAACAGTTTCAATATTCGAGATTTGCGGAGAAAAAAAGAGAAACCTCCCAATCTTCATACTGTATAATGTATTAGCAGAAAAAAAAAATGAAATTATTTTGACTATTCAATTACTTTCCTTTTATTCAAGCCATTCCAAATATTATTCCTTAGAAAGCTAATCTGTGTAAAAACATGCCCATTTTTTGGAAGTTACTATACTTCACCAGTTACTGAAACTATATATTATTATAAATATTCAAATATAAGCATATACTCATAATATAACACGAAAATTCAAACGTGTGTAGTATTTGGGTGGGAGGAAAATAATGCCGAATGTACCGGAATTTTCTACTGCTTTCGCAAAATTCTTTGACCAATAGAACGACGGGCACGTCTGTACTCTTTGTGCACACCAAAGGTTACGTTAATGCAGAGAAAGGGGGAAAAGCTATTTCCGGGAGTATGATTCACCATCTGACATTTCATATTAGGAAGAAAAGTTGTTTATTTAGTTTCGGCTTTTTCCCGGGAAAAAATAGCACGTTCATTAAAAAAAAAAAAAAGTACTAAAAAGAAAAAAATAAGGGCTTTAAAGAAAAAGTAAGCACCTATAAGGGGCTTTATATTTTATTTTCAAATATAAGGATTTATAAGCACTTATAAGGACCGCTACGAACCCTGGATAATATCCGAAGAAATATTTAAATGATTTAGCAATTTTGATGATAGAATTAGTGAGAAAAATCAGTATAAGTAACTAGACAGTACCCTTCTGCTGTATTTTAAATCAATTACTTTGCTCATGAATGTAGAACAATCACCTCATTAGCATTAATTTCACAAGATTGTATTTCATTAACTCAAAATAGTTGTACGCAACCTGCAGAGGTATGCAGTTGCTTACTTTTTTACATCAAAATAAATTACTTGTTTACAAATCTAACTCTAGTAATACACAAGTGTGTCATATCAACAATATACATTGCCTTATTTCAACATTGGGCATAAGGTGATGAATGAAAGGTTTACATGTATTAGCAAGATCTTTTCAGGCAGCAATCAGACTACCCAGTTAAGATGTTCATTGCCATACCACAAAGAAAATTCTAGTCTATATTCTCTGCATAAACATCTCATACATAAAACACAAATTTCCTATCTTCTCTGAAAGTGATGCTTTATAGACTTTACAATGGTTCCCATAGCCCTGGGAAATGAGGCAACTTGGGAGAAATAAAGTTCCAATCTTTTCCCTCTAAAGTGAAATATGAGGTAAATTTCATCGGGAAAATTAATTAAATTGTAAAATTTCTAATTAGGGGCATTATCAGTGAATATTTTCGCACTTTGCCACGTCTAACCATGAAACGCTTAAGTGCGGCAATTAAAGCATTAGACGTCAAATCTGACAAAAACCAAGATGAATAGTTCATGTTACGAAGCACACACATATATAGCACACACATTTACACAAATATAAATTTGATTTAGCACACCCTTTCCCTGATACTTCTAAGCTATACAATATGCCCTGCATAGATTGACGTATGGTAAATTACCCATAATCTGTGAAGACAAAATTGGTTTACATTTAAAACATGTCACACAAAGGTGCACTGTTTTTCAAGCTAAATCTCTACCACTTAATAGCCAAAATTTTAAACATACTGCATTTAATAATCCTTGAGGGCCAATATGCAATAATCGTATGTACACAGTAATCATATTTAGCTTAGAATTTCTTTGCAGGACATTTCTGAGAAAATAGCAAAGATGCCTTTCCAACACAGCCACCAACATTTCTTTCTTTCTTTATGATCAACAAAGAGGTGTAAATTTTTTCAGTTACCTGTTATGCCCTTTTTACAAGATAGGGCGCTCTGCTCTTGCTTAATAAGTGTTTTCTCAGCTGTTCTTACCTCGTCTAATTTAAGAGGTCCTAACTTTTTAAATCAATTTCTGCAATTATAAATAAACCTAATAATATGAGAACATTAATGATTTTATAATAATTATCACTAATTTTCAAGAGTTCATCAAAAACATTAAGAGTTCATATCGACAAACATAGTTCTCTCAGAAAGGTCATTAATGTCAGTAGAACTTTTGCTTTCAAGTATAAAGGATTCCCTTTCACTTGGTGTCAGGTGATCGAACACTGAAATTATTGGTTGTAAAGCACTTGTAGGGAAGATGTGGCTCAGTCAAAACATCTGCACTAGTCCAACAGTTTGAATGGTTCACTAGAGAAAAGGCACCAATTCTATGCTTCAGAAGATTTGTAAGACTGTCTTCATTAAATAATAGAACCATGAATAGTCAATTTCTGAATCTTGTCGTTGCAATTTTGAACGAAAGATTTCCATCTTCTGCTAAATCCTTTAATCCAATAAAATGCAACTTCAAAATAACTCTAAAAAAAGATATTACATGAACACGATCCAGAACATTTTTTACTTCCATTACCAATCAATGTACCTGGTAATTCGAGGCAAAGAAACATTATTGACAAGTTAAACTCTCTTTCTGGAGGGCAGCAAGTTTACAGAAATTTGTTCTCGATTTTGTACCTTTACATAAAATGCCTGCAGAATACGACTTTTGGCTTGCATCGGGGAAAAACATGGATCTCTATACTTTTATCACACGAATCCAAAATAAATCTTGAAATACTAATGTTACTTAATTTTGACAGCTCGCTGCACCATTGAGACTACTTGTCATTCAAATCAGAAGGAAGCTCAGTATCCCATGGTAGTTCATGTAGCCATAGCTTTTTGTAATAAAATCTGGTACTCTTCTGTTATCAGAACCGGATTCAGTTACGTAGATATGTATACATGCATGTATGAGTGTATGTGTTCATGCATGCACCGTATGTATGTACATATGTATGTGTGTATACACACACATGCATACATACACATTACATACTTTTCTGTATCCGGTCCTGATAACAGATTACTTGCTTACAAATCAGATTACTTGTTTAGAGCACCTAAATTTTTTTGTCTAACAACGAATGCTGTGATCAGTCCAAGGGGGATCACATATATTTTTCCAGGTGTTTGGAGGATTAAGTATTTGGTACTTTTCTTTCTTCTCAAAATTTCAGTCACATAAGAAGTCTCTACACTCAAACTATCTTCTTAATGAATGTCCAATTAAGTTCATAATACTTTGAGTATCTTTTTCACATGAGCTCGGTGGATAAATGTCAAAATGTTCTTTTCATTTCTTAACTAAACGATCATCATTTGTGAGCCATTTGCACAGATTCATCACAGCTCCATGTACAACTTCTCGAGTGCATCGGCACTGCACCTTAGCATGTTCAAGTATGTGGTTTTTGTTCTTATTCTGATCACTGAACAATTCATACGATTCGAATGAGTGGTATTAACTATTTTCTCACAACTTTTAAGTCCGTTTATTATAACTTTTGTTTTAAACAAAAAGGCTTATTGCTTTTGTGCACCATCATTATCATCATTTCGTTTTGCCTTTTTTCCAACTATTTTTAATATTATTTACCTTCGACTTAATAAATCTCACTGTTTGAGAATAGTTTTGTTTGTATCTGTGAAAGTTCATAAAGTGGGGAGCATCTATAGTCAATTTGAAATAAAAAGAACTTTTTACTAGTTACATTCATCAAACTTCAAAATTATTATTCTCAAGAAACGAATTTTGAAGAAATACATGAATTTAAAACAATTTTCACTGAAAGAGTTACAATGTAAAAACTTTCAAAAACAAAACAAAAAAAAAAGGATACATAATTTATTACATTTCTCAAGTTAAATCTTTCTAATAATGTTTAAAATAGATTATTTTTTAAATAATGCTCAAGAAACTTTTACTGTCACAAATTTATACATAACTTGTGATATCTTACCATCAATAAATTTCTTCAAGAAAGAATATTTTTCATCAATTTGTGGAATTTTTCCATCAGTCAAAGCATCAAGGTCTGAATTGTATAGTAATGCAGATGAAGAACAGCATCTAAAATACCCAAGAATGAAATAAGATAGAAGTACTCTCAAACAAATAAACAAGCAAAATTTGAAACTTTTTTTCCAATAACAAATACAATAACCCTCTCAAGGTACCACTTCCCTAAGTTGACCATAATTGAAATTCACCGGTATTTCTGAGAATTTATGCTAACATCCATACTGAGCATCACCTCTCTAAGATTCACCTCCATTTAAGACCTAAACCACTTGGAATCTAGATTATTTTCTTAAACAGGATTCAGCAAATTATTAAAAATAAAATAAAGATTAAAAATTATTGAGAAGTATTTATATAACTTTTTAAAATATCTCACTCTGAAATGGTATGTACAAAGAGTAATATTACAATTTGAAAGGTAAATTAAAAATGGGTCCTATGTGTTAGTCAAATGCAGATACCAAATGCCAAATATGCACTTGTTTAAAAAAAAAAAAAAAAAAAAAAAAAAAAAAAAAAAAAAAAAAAAAACTATCTATTAAAACAGACTTATAGTTATTTAACAGGTTAAATTCATAATAAATTTTGAGCAAGAGTTATAATTTTTAATTTAAAAATTACAAAAATTGTTATAGATTGTTTACGTGTTACTTCTTGTAACCTTAGTATAACAAAAATTAACCATACTCAACAATTTGTCCTATGCCTTGCTTTTACGTATTGCATGATCATTTTGAATTCAGTTAATATACAAGTATCTTAAAAATTATCTTTCTCCAAAGCAAGTCTCTTTCTTTCAAATGCCAAAATTCATTTGACAAAATATGATTAAACACACCAATACAAACACTTTGCAAACACAAATGCAAACTCTTTGCACAGATGATATTTGCAATGGTGGAAAACTTTCATTAAAACCCGATATTATTGTGTATCAGAATGCCACTTTTATCTTTCAGGGTTCGAACACATTTCTACACATTGAAATTAAGTACTTATAAGGACCATAAATGAAACAAAATTGAGGACCTATCAGCAAAAAAAATTGAATAAATTAAAGCAATTATCTATATTCTGAGTCTATCATGTTCCAAATCAAGGGATTCCTTTTGAATCATAAGCAATACTTTAAATTTCACTTCATGAAATTCTATTACACTCAATCCGAGCTTTTAGTATTTGTACAATACTTAAAATAAATTTAGGTCATATGAACAATTTTCAGCCTTGTGTAAAATTTTTCACGCTATTATTCACTTCCACGTCTATTCACTAAATTTCCGTATCTCCTGCTTTTAGTATTTGTACAATTATGCTTAAAATGAAGAATTTAGGTGACCATATGAACAATTTTCCCATCATTTAAAAAATGCCTGTAGTACCAATTATTATCACAAATTCTTTCATTATTTCTCAGTGTGCAAGTCATTTTCTACTTTCTATATTTTCATTCCAACCATGATGTTTACAGGAATGTATGCAATTAAGGAATTCTGAAAAGATTTTTTCATCCAGTGTGGTCCTTAAAAATTTGATTAGATATTTCCCTCTGCATCCTCTGAATGGCAGATCAGCAGTCTTTGAGTTTCCATGCTGAAGGCTTACTGAGTTTTCTGATTTCCTTAACATGGTTTTGCATGAAAACAGACCATTTTTGTCTCTTTTTATCCATGTGAGCACTGTTGTGGAATCGCTCCAGTTATTTTTGTTAACTCTTTCCCACTCCAGGGCTTTAGTTACGGAATCTGTCAATCTGGCCCAAATTACAGGTGCTAAAAGTTCCATTCTTGGGATAGTTTACCTCTCTTAAAGGAGCAACTCGAGATTCCACAGCAAGAAAAAGCCTAACTTAATCACTGTTCTACATCCTTAAAAATATAACCAGTGCATAAGCATCTTTCCTCTTATCAACAAAAGAGTGAAGAGCATAATTATTTAAATTTCCTGAAGTAACTTGAATAAATCTAGAAACTTAACAGTTACTAGATATTTCAATTCTTGAAGCTATTGTAGTAAATTTTTATGATTTCACCATCTGCTCATCCTTATTTTTGGTCAAAGCATAATTGTAATATCTGGCGTCTGTTTGGCAATCAACAAAGTGCCTCTTCTATAAGGAGGGTTACTGTATTTTAGGAGTGTTGTCTCAGAAGAGGAAGGTACTAGATTTTGCTTTGCTGTAGGAGCGATGTATGGCTCTGAGTTTAATATCATGCTTTGAATGTTATTTTAATAAATGTTTGTTTCATCTTGGTAACATAGTGATGCTATTACATTGATAAGGGAGAGAAAAATCAATAAACTGCAGATAACATGCTCTGTTTTGTCGTCTTTACCAAATTAAAGTTATTTAACCATTCTAAATTGATTTTCCGAATGTCCAGTTCTTTATTCAAAAGCACACCTAATACATGCATTTCTTTCTTATTAATAATTTCATCGAAATCACCAGAATACTCTAATCCCCTTAGAACAAAATCACCTTTTGGACATTGATAGAATCGGAAACACACTTTTTTACTGTTGTTTAATGTCAACACTAAAAATGACACTATCAGTATACAAACTTTGTAAAGTAATTTCAAAATCAATGTAGTGCTCAATAACTGAGACCAAAAGGAAAGGACTACATTTTGCATCAAAAACAACTTTTGAGCTTTTTCTCTTCCATGTTTTTCCACCATAAAAACAGTAGGAAATCTTTGTCTTCTTTCCGAACATTTATTTGTAAAAAGACTTTTCTAATGTCAGCTGACTCCATACCGCCACTCTCTGAATTGCAGTAGGATATCAGGAATAAGTTCGATTAAATTAGGACTGCACCGCAAGCACTGGTTCAGAAAAATAATGATTTGTTAATCTCATTGAAGCATCAAATACTAGATGGATTGGTATGGTACTGCTGCTTGACTTTAGGACAGAGCAATGAGGAAAGTAATTACCATAGTAGTTTCATGAACATGTGTTTTTTCCTTTGATGTAACCCTGAATGCTTTTCGATAAGACACCTTTTAAGATATAACTTATTTATTGAAAGTTTTTCTTTACATTTTGAAAAAAATTATTAAAATTTCACACCAAATTCCTTTACAAACAGGAAATGGAGGATTATTTTTTAATAGTTATGGGATCCTACCTAAAAAAAGAAGGTGTATTAACCAGACATGGTATAGTATACTATTACAAAACACATAAATGGTGATGAAACTAAAAAAAAAAAAAAAAAAAAAAAACGTGACAAGAGAATACACATTAATATGGTTTGAGGGCTGCATAATCACATTTGTAACAGCACTTATAGCTATTTAGAAGAATTAACATCTGCTAAATGGAGAACAGAACAGCTGGATATGGCTGATAAAACAGTAATTGAATGGAACAATTACATGTAGGAAGTTTATACTCGCAGCATTATAAACAGAGCTTAGGGTAAAATCAAAAAATGACTATTCTGTTGCTATTCTGAAGTCAATAGAAATTTTTACTTTGAAGTAACTGGCATAGGTTTTAATGAACTTCTTTGTCAGTTAATTTAAAAGATGGAATTAATATTGAATTTGTTTTTGATTAATTATTGAACTTTAATTTAAAGATTGAATTACTATTGAATTTTTTTATGTGCTGAATTTGCAATTTGTGTCTGTTGATCATATAAGTAAATAAATAGTGCTATATGACTGTTTATTAAATAAAGAGGCATCAGTCTCTTCAGAATTTTGCAATTTCTTGGTATCTCTGTCAATTTTTAAATAGCAGACAACTTTTATAGTCGACAAGATGATACGTAGCACTAAAATTTTAAATTCTAAATACAGACAATAACTTTACATATAATCGTCATCAAAAATACTTGTAATTTTTTTTAGAAATTATGACTACAGATTTAGTATGATAAAGTAACATGATTAGCAAGCTTAAGTTTGAAATTACAGTATCTTTTTCTGTAAAAAATTTCTTTATTTGCCTGTATGTTTACTTTTTCAATGAGAAATGCTTCAAGAATTTTTTGTGCCTAAATTTGGTAGAAATACATTTTACCCCTTTCAGAAACTGTGCTTGAACGAGGTATTACTAAAGCTCCAATAATTATAATAGGCATTACTTTGCATTTAATGCACACATTCACATACTTTAAATTTTCAGTTTCTCCCCATGTTGTATGAATATGCAAATCTGTAGCTTATTTTAAACTGTCTACAGATAAACTCAATTTTTACTTAAGATTAATTTAGAAGTCAAACAATAAAAATCAGCATTATATTTTCATATTTTCACAGGACTAGCTTCGATGGTTCGGGAAACCCATCGAAACTAGTCCTGTGAAAACTTTAAAATATAACGCTGATTTCTGTTGGACTTTTAAAATTAATATTTGTTTGGTGTGTTATTGTATCTTAATTATTTACTTACTGAGCAACTATCATTCTATTATAAAACCAGTATTAAACCCAGGCAGCATTTTGCCCAAGTTTCCAAATCAGCATATATTTTATGATTTGCTATTGTAAGATATTTGTAATTGTATAATACATACTTTATTATACATAAAATGATTATTAAATGAAATACTTACAATGATCGAATAATATCTAGGAAACCATTCGCATCTCTAAATTCAGTGAAGGATTGTATATTAGAAGTCACAAGGGAATTAAACTGAAAATAAAAAATTATATCGATAACACATTAAATAAATGATTTAATAATTTATTACTGTACATACGGTATTAAAATTAAAATATAATGCCTGTAATCATGATTAAAGGTTAACTGATAATGGTATTTAATAACATAGACAAGAATAAAAATCACATTTGCTAACAATAATTTTTTATAGCCAACAAAATTTAATATTATAAAGAAGATACTAAATTAAGTGTACAGTTTAGATACCTACAATCTATTTTCCACAGAAGATCAGCAGCTTTTTCTCTGTCTCATCTGTAAGTATTAGTTTAGAGAAAAACTAAAAACAAATTTAAATTATTAATCTAAGTCAGTAATTCTCAACCTTCTTTTGCCCTTGAATCCTAATTTTTACTTCAGCATCAAAATGCCACTCTCCCTTCCCCATACTTTTTTTATTTTTGGGATGCACTTAAAAAAATAGTGAAATCTCACTAAAGTGCACAGGATTTTGGACAACTGCAAAAGCAAATAAATGTCTTAAAGCAGTGCTTCCATCAAGCCCTAGCAAAAATTATTCCGGTCCTCTTTGGGAACATTAAAACAATCCTAATTTTTTTAATTTATTATTTTTATTATTATTATTATACTGTACAACCAACAATTAACTTCTAGTGTCCCACTCACTTCTACCTGTATAAGTTTCTTACAGAGATGACGTTCAGTATCAGTGCTTATATATTATATCCCCAGAAATATTGTTCATGCACAGATCCCTTAACCCTTTCCAGACAGCAACTTAATCTCCTAGCCTGTCACTATGAGACGAAGAGCTGAGCTTCCAAGCTTAATTTTTGAAAAAAAAATTAGCAAAAATATGTTTTCATTCCAATTTTTTTTTCCCCCTAATATTACAGAAAATGCAGTTATCTTTATACTTTTTTGAATTATAGAATATGTATAACTTTTGCAGCTATAATGTTATATACAGATGATGAAAGAGGACTTTTAAAACAAATGTTCAACTACAATTAAAATAGTTAATGTAAAACAACAAACCTATACAGGCACATCCATACATCCATATATACATTTACAATGAAATAAAAAATTTTTCCTGTGTGATATAATCCGAAGCATGGGTCCACGCAGAGTCTTATATTACAATCTTTGCACTCAGAATAAGATGTTTTCCCTGAAGCTCACGTCCTCTGCATAGTCTGAGAGAAAATAATACATTTTCTTCAGCAATGGAAAATGCCTTTCTGAATGGTGAAATGGCATTCTTGACATGACCCTCTCAATTTGTTCGATTAATCAAACCTGAAGCAATGGTGTTTTTGTACCACTTTTTACACTGTATAAAATATGTGCATTACAGATCGTACTGTCAAGTAGCTCCAAAAATAATTTTCTATACCACTTACCACCAGATTTTCTGTAAGATGGATAATGAGTAGTGACTGCATTACTAATATCCACTGCTTCCATATTTTAATTGTACTGAAATATACAGTTTGGTTTCTTAATTCTTTCTACCATTTTGTAATTTTGTTTAACAGAACCTTTTAGTTGGTGCCCATGCATTGTAGTAAAATGCAATACTGCCTTCTTTTTTATTTTTAAATGCACATTGTTTTGTCTCATCAATGCTGATTGAAAATCTTTTGGCAGACCTTTCATTTCATGACTGTGTCATAAGCACTCATTTTTGAGTCTTAAAAATCTAATGCAAGTCACAGTGAAATGAAAAACCTATTCAGATATAAGTTGTATCCTTTTCCCAAAAGATCACCATGTGAGGGTGTTCACAACATTTTCGCAATATAGGTTACCTCTCACTGTGAGATTTGTATCTTTGTCTGTCTCAATGAAAAGTTCCAAGCATAACCTGAAATGGATTAACTTAGTTTTGCACCATATTAGGACTGTTTCAACAGAACATACTGTATTAGTTTAGAAGTCAAAAAAAAAAAAAAAAAAAATCAACATTTTATTTTCACAGGACTAATTTCGACGATTTTACCAAACCACCATCCTCAGCTGCAAAAGCGCAAATGAATCAATTGAGATATCTCACCAAAATCTGGTTGCATATTCTTATAGCTCGACAGGTGCTGGTTGGTATACTAGCACTGGCTGTGTGTTCTTACACCTCACCATGTAATTGTATATTAGCACTATGTTGTGTTTTTGCTCTCGCTGCATGTTCTTATATCATTCACTTCTGATGAGGTTCTTGAACTCACTTTGTTTATTTTAAAATATATTCATTCTTTTTATCTAAATATGATATTTACAACATTTAATTTACTTTGTTTATTTAAAAATATATTCACTCTTTTTTTCTAAATACGATATTAACAACATTTAATTTACCAAGTAATAAGGTGAATGCCATATCATTTCTTAAAGAAAGAGGTCTTTTACCTGACAAACGAATATGCAAAAATGACCAAGACATGGAAACTTCACGTTAAGAATGAAACCACTTAGAGGTGCAATGTTAAAAATTGCAAAAAACAAGAAAGGCTTCTGAGTTGGAAATTGGTTTAGGAGTTCTAGAACAAAGTTTGCCACTGCTGTTAGATTTATGTATTCTTAGGCAGAGGAGTTGACATCCATGAAATGGTGTAACAAACGTTGACATCCATGAAATAGTGTAACAAACAGCTTAATATGTATGAAAGTGCTGCAGTTGAGTAGAAAAGTTACTTGTGATAAAATAATAAGAATGATAAGGATTTAAAATATTCTTAGGAAACAACGAGTATTATTGTTATTATTATATACAGTGTTGCTTATTTTTACATTCGCACTTCATGAGCTTTAATTTTTTAAACATTCCTCTACTTTCGAACATTTAGTCAAGGGATACCTGAACCTAGCTTAACCCATCCGAGAATTGCACACTGTTGTGTGCAATGTATTTCCAAGCAAAAAGATGTGTGGCACACCATCTGTGGAATCATACTGAATTGGAATTATCAGTCTGTATGGAATAAGCAGCCATCGGGACAGACTGATTTAAAATGAAAAAGTTTTTTAGAAGTGTGTAAACGTAAAATTTGGTTCCTAAAATGAATTACCCAAATCCAGGACCATCAGGAATGCAGAAAATAAGCAGCGATAGTGAAAATGATGATTTATATCTTGCAAGAAATAGAAAAGAAAAAAAATGGGGGGGGAAACAAAATGCTGATATTATGGATTGCGACAGTGATCTGTAATATGCGGAAGCTATGAATATATAACAGTTAAATGACACACTTGATGAGATTTTTGAGGAAACTCACAGTGAATTAGGTCAGAGTATATTTAAAGGTGCCCCTTGGATTATCTCTAAGTTGTTGTATCATTTATGTTAACCTGGGTAGTTGAATGCTATGGAAACCCTATTATGACGTAATTGGTTTCAGAAAATTTGAATCACGGGGAAAAAATTTGGAAATTGTCTGTCGAATTTTGGGTAAAGGCTCATGTGTGTTGGATAAGTATGTCGTTATTTTGTGGTTTGCACGGTAAAATGGCTGAATGTCCTAAGATTAATTTGAAGTTTCCATATGATTTGGAACAAAAGGAAATAACAATAAAAATTCATTCAAAGGAATAAGTTTTAGTTTGATTTATTTAATTATGGCAAAGCACACTAGGGCTATCTGCCTAAGGGGAAGGATGCCTTCGGGGAGGACTTTCCAAGGGAAACTGACTCGTATACACGTTACACATGGGGAAAACCACAAAAACGCCCATGCAGCCAGCCCATTCACGGGATTCGAATCTCGGACCGAACTACCAGCGTTCAGCGACATTACCGCTCGGCCGTTAGTGGGCCTTTGGAACAAAAGGAAAAAAAGCATTAATTGACTGGTGTGTAAACAAAGGTTTACTTGGTAGCCATTAAGTGTCCTGTTTGTAGGACGGAAATGCATATGGTCAAACACTGGATATTTTCGAACGGAGGCTATTTTTTACGCTTATTTTTGTGAATTTATGTGGCGATGCCAGTATACATATTCAAGTTCAGGTAATTTTAGGATGTTTTGGTGATGCTGTTAAGGAATTTTGTTTGACTGAAGACGCATAAATTCGTCAGTAAGATAAGTGGATATTTTCTTCATGTAGTGCTAAGATGAATTTCCTTTTTTATGCTATTTCATAGTTTGATTTAAAATGTAGTTTATTGAGATTATACATATTTTTTTGTTGGCTGCTCCTTTGACTTTTAAAGTGAATATAGATCGATGTGAACAGAAACAAAGTTAAGGGAGCGTACAATGCCTAGTTTGTGCAATTCTCTGTTTTTTAAGTGAAAATAGGCCGACGTGTACATGGATACTGAGTTTGTGCAATTCTTTGACCTGTTATTTTGGGTTTGTGCAGCGGTGATTTTTGGCAGAAAAACTGCCGCTACACAAAGCCAAAATAACAAGGCCAAAGAATTGCACAAACTCGGTGCCCATGACCACCAAAAATCACCATGGGGCACCTGTAAATATATTTTTACCGGGGATTCTACTGAAAGTGAAATTGAAGAGCTTGAAGTTGAAGATACTGAGAGATGAACAGATGACAGACATTTTTAAAAAATTCCTTTTGAGAGCAACTCTAGTCTTCAAAATTTACCTAAAGCAGGTCATTCGAATGCCTTTTCTAAAAATCTATTTATGGATTATATGTTTTCCTCATTACTAAACCTAAAATAATTTCATGTTATCCATAGAATAAATATTGTTACGAGTTTCGTATTTAGTTAGCTATTTTTGGTAGAATTGTAATTAAAATTGTTTTATTTCCCCATGTAATGCAGTGCGTGATGAGTTTTAAATGAAGCTACGGCGAAAAAGTAAAAATACAGGAGCACACGCATTTAATTACTAGATATTTCGTAATTGATATTTAATATGAAATAATTGTAACTGCAATTTTATGCTTTTACTTTCCAGAAACCTCCAGAAATTACGAGAAGCTTCTTGTGACTGCTTAAAAAGCTTATAAAAGCTGGAGAAAAACATCAGTTCAGATGTTTA